GGCTGCCGGCTGCCATATTGGTTGGCAGTTAATTTGCATATCTCACTGATTTGCCAATGGGAAGGGTAGCGGCTGTATGGCTAATTACCATGTTTCTCTTTTATTAGATAGGATAGATAAACATGGATAATTTCTAGGTGCTACCATTGTCCAAGAGTTTTGAAAGAATTATCAATAGTTTTCTCTAGTGCCTGAGATATTAACCACCTTGATGTAAACACTATGTAACATTTAGTGCATCTTTACACAAAGCGTGTATATATTACATAATTATATACCATATGCATATATGCATACATGCATGTATATATACCATATAACCACATATCACATTTTATTTTTCATTTCTTTAAAGATCTACCACCATCTAATGTGTTTTATTCAATTACACAAATAACCAGACCACTTCCCTACAATTAGTGTGCACATTGGGTTCTTTTGGTTTTGTTTTGTGTTTACTGTTGTAAAAACAGCTTTATAAAATATCTTTAAACTTATTGTTGTCATTCAATATTGTGAATCTCATTTCTAGAGCTTGTGTATGTATTATAGGGACAAAAGTTATGGAATATTTGTATTTTAATAATTACTACCGGATTATTATTTTTAGAAAAGGTTTTTATGTGTAGGCCAGCCAACAGTGTAAGAGGTTTGTTTTTGGCCACTGTGTCTGATTTCTATTTCCATCATTACTGCCTTCGTCACCTAAAATGAATATTTTAAACTCTCTGTGCTTCAGTTTCCTCATCTCTAAATATAGAATAGCAAGTGAATCTCCCACATAAAATGTCTGTATTGATTTAATGAGATGATATTAGAAAAGTGTATAGAAACTGCTTGGTAGCCTGGCTGGTGTGGCTCAGTGGTTGACATCGACCTATAAACCAGGAGGTCATGGGTTAACCTATGAACCAGGAGATCACAGTTTGATTCCTCATCAGGGCACATGCTCTGGTTGTGGGCTCAATCCACATAGGGGGCATGCAGGAGGCAGCCAATCAATAATTCTCCTCATTGATGTTTCTATCTTTCTCTCCCTCTCCCTTCCTCTCTGAAATCAATAAAAACATATTTTTTAAAAGAAACTGCTTGGTATATTAATAAATATTAAATAACATTTTTATAAACCCAATATGAATATTTTAAATTTCAGCTATGCCTCTGCTTACTCTATTTATATGCTCATTTTGATGATATTTTAAACTTCTGAGGATTCACATGGGAATAGCTACAATTTTTATATTTAAATTAGAGATTATTATTCATATTTATTTCATTGTATTTTATTTAGAGTATAATTTTGTGTTTTAAATGCCATAAATGCTATGTTTTCATAAAGTATAATGCTTCTGGCTGGTTGGAATTATTTTTTATCTAGCAGCTTTATCTAGCATACAGCGTATTTTGGAGTATTTCCTCTGGAAATTACAAAAAAATAAGTTTGATTTATGGCAAACGATAATGTTATTCATATTTCTTCCCAATTGCCCAACTATGTATTCTAGGACAGAAAACATCATGCTTACTGAGGCACTATTTTTTTCTGAATAAGATCTATTAAAGGGTTATGGCGCAAATGAAGCAGCTAAGGTATAATGAAATGTTTATCCACTTGTTTAGCTCAGAACAAAAGTACGCAATATTGCCTCTTTGGCATCTTTCCCTACAGGGTGCTTAATTCTCTCAAAACTGGATTTTTTTGTTGTTTTAATGTTTTAGGGCTACATTACATTTATGCACCATTTCTGTATTTCTGTTCAAATGAATATGATTGTATTACTGTAAAGTAGACATCCGCAGGTGATAACAGTAAAGGCAAATCTCGTAGAGGCAGAGAACAAAAGAATCTTAGTGGAAAAAATAACCGTAGAGAGTTCTCTGCCAATAAAAGCAATGTTTTTAATATGAAAAAACAGACCAAG